CCCTCTTCCCAACCTTGGCCATGCCCTCTGCCCATCCACTCACCTAGCGGGCCTTTCCTCTCTTTTCCTAGGAGTCGGTAGAGATTCTCGGTCCTCCAAGTCATGGATGGAGGACTGAGAATCTCTACAGACTTTTTAGCTGTACAATTTGGGATGAAGACCCTTGGAATGGGGTGGGAGTAGGAACGGATTTCCAGAGGGAAAAATTGCAGACTACAGGAACCATTTGCACCGCTCAGGTGTCCCTGAGGACACAGAGAAGCCTCCAAGCGGCCTCAACGAACCTCTCAAAGGATGCAAATGACCAGCTGTCTGCAAGGAATATATAAAATCCTTCCATTCCCCACTATCCTGTTGGAGCTGAAGAAGCTTCTTGGATGAGAAGGGAAACGTCTTCAAAGAAAAACCAAGGAAGTCCAGTTGCCTCCTGAAAAGGCCCCTTTGGGGCATCTCCGTCCTAGAGTTGACGCACACAGGGGATTTAATAGACTCCCCAGGTCACTATAAGGGTCAGGACAGGAGGAGCCCTTGGCCGGCGTCCAGCAGGCCGGTTTACAAAGGAGTTGCTCCTGTGTCCGTCTCTCTGCTAATGAGCTTACGTAAAAAAGGAAGAGGAGTCCTTGCAAACTGAAAACTCCCAGCACGAGAGAGGGGAACGTTTTGGTGCAGACCGAGCAGCGATTCCCATTCAGTGGAACAAGCTTACCTTTCTTTCCTTCAGATTTTTTACTCCGGAAGTCTAAAGCGGGTGAATTTAGTCACGTTCAAAATATGAAAAGCGGCCTCAGAATAGAAAGCAGGAGAGTGCTTTGCTTTTGCTGGGGTAACCGGCGACCATCCATTCATACTACGGCATTGCATAACCCGAAAAAGGTACTGGAGGGTTTAAGGTAGTGGGGTCAACAGCTGTCTCCCTGGGGAAGCCAACAGGCTCCTCCAATGATCAATATCCCGTCAATCAAAGGCTTTGGGGAGACCCCTCCCCCCAAACTTAGGCCCTCTGGACCTGCAACCTTTAGGAGGTAGAACTTTTTCCCCCAAATGGAAGGCAAATACTGAGATATTTGGGCTAAGGTTGCAAGATCCAATCTGGGTCGGTCACCCCAGGAGCAGAGGCTGACCTCTGGTCCCGTTGACCGACTGATCCGGCCACAACTTTGTTCTCTTCCTTAGAAGCCCCTCAAGGGAGGCAAGCAGAGACCCCCACTCCCTCCCCCTCCCCGGGCCTGGCCTCCCCTCCCGGGCAGCAGCAGCAGCTTAGCTGAAAAGGCTGAAATTTCGGAGGTCAAAGCGAGGAAAAAAAAAACAAATCCAGTTATTTTTCTCCAGCGTTGCAAAACCACAAGAATTCCCCCCCCCCCCCCTTCTCCTGCGCGGCCTTGCAATGGGGGGGGGAGGGAGAGGCCGATAAGAGAGGGCGGCCCACCTTCCTCCCCCTCCCAGGCTCGGCCTTCCTCCACCGCAGCCCCCTCCCCACTTTGGTGGATGCCCAGGAGGGAGGGAGGAGGGAGGAGGGGGGCCACGCAGGGCCAGGCTGGCATTATTTATGGGGGGGGATTGAGACCCTCAGCCCACCCAGGGAGCCCCCCCCGTCGCCCTCCCCTTTGGGGGGGTCCCCATTCTCTGGGGGCTGAGCCCCCCCTCCCCCTCCCCTCCCCCCAGGCCGGCCCGGGGTCCCTGCGGCAGAGCAGGCCTTGGCGGTGCCCTCTGCCCGGGCGGGCTCCTCTCCTCCCCTCTCGGCCGGCCTTGAAGGGCAGCGGAGGGACGCGGCGACCCCCCCCCACCGCCCCCTCCCCCTCCCCGGCACCCACCTGCCCAGCGTGGGCCGCGCTCCCGGGCCAGGCCCGCCCGCCTTGCGCCCGCCCGACGGAGGAGCAGCGGCGGCGGGCGGCGGAGGGCGAGGCGGCGGGCGAGGCGGCGGCGGAAGAAGAGGCCGAGGGCTGCGGGGGCGTCGCGGCGGGGCCCGGCGGGGGCTCCGGGGGCGGCGAGGGCTGCGGGGACGGCTTCAGCGCCATGGCGAGGAGGCCCGCGGAGGGATCCGGGCGCGGGGCGGAGCGGAGGACGAGCAGGAGGAGGAGGCGGAGGAGGCTGCCTTGCCCGCCCGCCCGGCTCTCTCGCTCGGCTCTCCCTCCCTCCTTCCCCCTCCTTCCTCGCTCGCTCGCGCCCGCCCAGCCCCGGAACCGCTTCCCTCCTCCTCCCCCTCCTCCTCCCCCTGCTGCTGCCCCGGGCACGCGCGCGCGCCCCCGCCCCCCCCCCAGCAGCCTCTGAGCACGTGCAGAGTGGAGCCTCTCTCTATATACCCTCGCTTCCACTGCAACCCCCCCTCCTTTTTTTTTTTTTTTGCAGGGACCCCCCCCCCCGGCTCGTTTCTGTAATGATCCCCCTTTCTGGACGGAAACCCCCCCCCACCTTTCTACAAGGACCCCCCCCCCAGTTTCTGGAAGGACTCCCCCCTTTCCTCTCTCCCCCCCCCCCACAATTTGGAGGTCTGTAAGCAAAGGCGCCCCCCCCCCCCCACACACACAAAAGACCTGCCCGGCTGCCTCTCCTTCCAGGAGCCGGGAAGGCGCCCGCGGGGCAATGGCGCGAAGGGCGGCGGGCGCCCGGTTGCAAAAAGAGCGCTGCTGCTTTGCTCTCCGGCTGGTCTCTCTTCTTGAGGTCGGGCCCGCTCCAGTGTGACCGGTGGTGGAGAAAGGAGAGAGTGGGGAGGGGGGGGTCTTGCTTCAAGGGTGGGAGAAACAAGAGCCCGGTTTAATTCCGGCTGGCGAAAGGATGCCACCGTTCACACGGCAGATCGAGCCGCAAACTCTACACGTGAAAACCCATCAGCGGCCGGGCTGGTTTCCCTTTTCGAGCGGTTCCATTCGGGCTCCGTGTCGAGCGGGTTCAACCCAGCCCTAGCTCTGAACTCGGCCGACCTCTCGATCTGCGGGTTTCATACTTGGGGGGGGGGCGTATTTGTCAATGAATTAAGACTCGTTTAATAAAACCGGATTGGTGGCAGCAATAGAAGCGGAGATGCGGATTCCCCCGACTTCACAGGTGGGGATCCGGAGCAAGCAACTGAAAACGGGGGCTAGAAGGCACAATTTGTTTTTGCCGTGCCAAAAACATGTATTTCCCCCTCCCCCCCCCGGAGATCTCTTACCTCTCGAATCTGCAAAGATCCCTGGGAAATGGATGTTGCAAGTCGAAAAACCACAATATGTGAATTACGTATGTAATAATGTATACAATAAGGTTACTGTGTATTAATAGATGTTTGCTTAATTAGTTATAAGAAAGCTGAGTTTGCTTCCTGTTTAGTTGGAAGCTAGCTGCAGGAAGGGAAGAATTGCTTAAATACCCAGAGAGGTGACATCTTTGTTGTGACCAACACAAAAAAAAAAAAAGAGAAAGAGCAATCTTGTGATTTTCCAGAATTCATTCCCAAACTGGCTGCTCAGCAAAATAGGGAGCAAAGGGGAGGGGGGCTGCAAAATCACCATTGGGAGGGACTCGGGGACTGGGGCAAGGAAAGATCACCAGTCCAAACAGATTGGCATGAAACAAATTATAATTTATCCCTTGCCGTTCAGAGATAAAACCTTTCTTTTTGCAACCCACTTCAGTGTGAAAGGAAACTTAAGCTAAAGCTCCAAGGGTCTGAGATGCTTCAGGTGAAAACAAAAGTCTCAGCTGGGCCATGAGAGAGAAAACGAAAATCAATGATTGATTGCTTGATAGGACAAGAGGGTTGCCAGGGGGCACCGCCCATTAGTCGCCCAATGGAGCAAAGGACACAACCGATTCACCGGGCGGGGGGCACCACGGAGAGTGGGCTTAACCCACCTGTAAAGCCAGGGGCCCTCCGTCACTTAAGGCCATTTGAAGACTGAAAGGGCTACTTGGCAACCCCTTTGGCGTCTTTCTTGGTCTAACCTGAGACGGGGGGGGGGGGTTGGTTGGTCTCCAACCTTGGCAACTTTTAAGACTTCTGGACTTCAACTCCCAGCATTCCCCACTCTTGCTGGAATTCTGGGAGTTGAAGTCCACAAGTCTTAAAAAGTTGCCAAGGTTGGAGATCCCCGTGTTAAAAACCATGATGTATTTTGAATGGGTCCCATTGAACGCAGGAAGAGGCCTCTGCGGAGCAAGGCTTAAAAAACTGGCCTTCTCAGTCTGGTCCAAGGAGAACAGCAACCAGGGATCGGGGAAATGAGGGAGGCTGTTCCAGATCCTTCTACAGCGGAATGGGATTGGAGGATCCAGCAGAAGCGGCTTACGGACCGTTTCACCCTGTGCCTACGTGGCAACTGGCGAAGAGCCCCCGGGGTGCCCAAGAGGGAAAGCTGGCCCTGCCACTTCCTCTCCCCCACCACAAAGGACTGGCCCATGGTTGGAACGGCTGCTGGATTTCAATGTGTCCTTTGTCCGGTGGCCTCTTTGGCATCCATTGTTTTCTATACAAGCCCCCTTTCCTCACAAAAGTCACTTTATCAGGAGGGTTAGCAAAGGAAACAGGGCAGCAAAAATCGGCCGATCTTAATGAGAGGAACTAAACTGATCCCAGCAAGCAGATCTCCCAATGGTTCAGTGACACCCCCCCCCTACAAATGAGAAGGGATCCAACAAGTTAAGGGAGCAGCTACGAGCACACAATTGAATCCTGATCTCTTTTTGGACTCTTTCCTGGGGTTCGTAATTAAGCTGGAAGTCTACAAGGAGAGCTTTTTCTTACCAGGAAACCTTTTTCTCTCTCTCGTTTTGCTTAAAAAAGAAGTGTCATTTTCTTCAGAAGGGAAGACTTAGAAAGGAATCGCATTAAGGAGAGACGGGAAAGTAAAGAACGGATTATAAGGCCGTATATAAACTACGATTCCTGGCCTAGCTTGTTACACAGACCCAACCACCCTGCCAATAAACTGCAATTAGGCCAATCCTAACTTTGTCTAGTAGACAACTTGGTGACTGCTGCATTCTTACAACCAAATACGCATGTTACAAACAAATATCACAGGTTGGACTTTTATCCGGTTTAATATGCTCTCGTTGCTGCTGTTACAATCCAGATTTTTTGTTTTTAAAGTAGACACTGATGGGTGTTTTGAGCGCCAGTCAAGCTACATGCTACCCCTGAATAAGACCGGCTCTTCTCAGCTGAGATCCATTGGAGGATTTTTTGTTTTCATTGCTCTGCCTCGGTACGTTAAGTGGGGTTTCCCAGTTACAAACAGAACCGAAAACGCCTCTTAAAAACTGCCTGCGTCTTGATCAGTTTGGAGAGGAGCCTCTCAGCCGAAGCAACAGCAATAGAGGTTCACACACACACACACACATACACACCCTCCAATGGTCGACTAATGACAAATCTGCTAATAAAGATGTAGTTACTCTTTTCTTTGCAACCAGCTCCTGTTCATTCTGGACTCGTCGCCTCTTCCTTTCTTGTTCTCTGTCAGAATCCGTTTCCCCACGCCTGACGGTGTGGCCACACACTCACTTCCTCCTCGTTTCAAGGGAAATTGATGAGGAAGCAAAAAAAGAACACAGCAGTGCAAAAGAAGAAGAAAAAAAAATCCCCAGGAGGGATCCTTTAAAAAAAAAAACTCAGTAGGTGCTGTGTGGTGGAAATCGTGGCTCTTATATTCTCTGAGACAGCCCTCCTGTGCAGTTTGAATTCTAAAATGCATTTGTCCCGTGCTTGTATCTTAGGAAAAAACATGGCCTCAGAGGCTCAGAAATCAGGGAGTGGGAAGATCGGTGAACTGCATGCTAGTGTCACACACACACACACACACACAGTTCCTCCTCATTGTAGAACCTCCTCCCCCCCCCAGATATTGGTGAAAAACTGCTGAGGCCACATTAGCTCAGAATTAGGGGTGTGAAGACCCTGTATGTTTGCCCAGACTCAGGGTCCCTGGTTGCAAGCATTGGTTGGCTTTCTATGGCCAAAACTCAGGAGCCCGGCTTGTTGCTGCCAAACAAACCAAGGTTCCTGAGTCAAGAACAAGCCCTGGATTTTGACTCTGGTTTATAAAAGGAAAACAAGAAGCCAGGATCGAGGCCTTTGACCTAGATGCTAAGCAAACCATTTCCCTGTATGCAGTTGCTGGGATGAAGGCATTTAATAGACCAAGGCAAACCTCCGAACCCTCCTGAAGCTGGCTTGATCCCTGCCAGGGACTGCAGCCGCCAAGCCCAGGTGCCCGGGAGGCCCTCGCTGTAGAAACTCAGCAAGATTCCTTGTGGAGGCGCCACGTCACTTGGGGGCCTCCAGACTAATCAATAACTTACTACTTCTCTTACACGCTAAGGGAGCAAAACACCATAGCCACCAAAAGTGCGACGGCGGGCTCTTGGCGCTGAAGGACCAGTGTGCCATGCGAGCTACTGTGCAAACTAAGCTTGCTTTAAAACTCAGCAGCTCTTTAGCTGGTTCGGTATCTAATGCCTGCTGCTACGTCTAAGGCTGCTACGAAGACTGTCCAAAGTCTGGTCCAGTCAAAGCCAGCAGCAGGGAACCTGGAGGTTTTGCCCAAAAACCAACCAACCCACCAACCCAACGCCCAGCCTGTGCGAGGACTTTGCTAGCTATCAGGGCCCTGCAGCCTTCCTTGGGGAATGCCTGCAGGAAAGTGGGCAGAATCGACACCCCAGCGCCTATTTCCTCCTTTTCAGAAAAGGGGGTTTGGAACAGAGACTCGGGGGTGGGAGAGGAGAAGTTTACTCACCTGGGTAGCTTCCCAGCAGCCTCGCTGCAGCAGAATGCCACGCCTGGAATTCTGCAATGGACACGCACCCGGACAGAGCGGAAGCTACACAATGGGAGCCAAGGCAAACGTGCACAAACACACTTCGCTACAAATCTCCCTAAATGGCAAAGGCGGCAATCAGGACGAGACGAGACCCCACAAAATGTATGGCCCAGGGATCAACCGTGGCGGGAGAAGAGAATTAGCTGCAAAGAAAGGAGAGGGAAAGAGGAAGGAAAGGGGCAAGGAAAGGAAAGAGAAGGGAAGGAAGGAGAGGCAGGGAAGGAAGGAAGGAAGGAAGGAAGGAAGGAAGGAAGGAAGGAAGGAAAAGGGACCACATAAGGACAAAAAGAAAGAGAGGCACATTTCCCTGGCAGTCGCCCCAATCAAAGGACTTCAGCCCTGATATTCTCCAGCACCTTTTCAGGTTTCCGGCTGAGCTGAGCCCACATCCTCCAAAGGCCACTAACTGCCCCCCCTCCCACTCATCCTGGGGAGGGAAGCCTACATTCAGGTATAACTTTCAGCCTAGGTTGGACGTCAAGCGACCGCAGTCCTGCTTGCTCCTTCCGAAATAAAACCTAAAGCTCGGTCAGCGTTTTGGTTCCTGCTCTTCTTTTCAATGTGGGTCTCGGTCGAAACCTCTGGAGCTGAAAGACGGTGGGTGGCGTCCCCAGGGAAGCAGCAGAGAGAGAGGGGAGGGGAGGGGAGGAAGGCCCGGCAGCCGCTTTGGGTTTCACTACAGAGAGCCTAAGGCAAGCTAGCTAGCAGAGGAAAAGGCGTCTTCAGGGCCGTCGGTGGCCCAGGGTTTAGTGCAAAGGATCCAGAAACCAGATACTCGTCCCTGGCTAGATTTTCCAGCCTATTTTTGCCAAAACAGACAACGCTCGTTTTGCCCTCCCGACACCCTTCCTGCACCCGATGGCGGTCACCTCCGTTGCCTCTGCGCCCGCTTGTCACTTGCCCCTCTTGCTTCTCCCCTTGCGGGAGGAGGGCTTCCCGCTGCCTCCCGCGGATGAACCCGCCGAAGAGGCCATGGGGATGTTGATCTGCCCGTCCTGGATCTCCTGTCGGGCCTCGGCGGGCAGGTGGTTGATCTTCTGCTGGGCCTCCAGGTAGAACATGACGTCGCGGAGCTGCTCCTGGACCTCGGTGATCTGGAGGTCCTTCTGTTCGCAGGTCTCCTTCAGGAGCTTCTCCTCGTCCTTCAGCTTGTTCTGGAGCAGGAGCTGGTTGGCCCGCAGGCATTTGTTCATCTCCTGCTCTTCCTTCAGCTCGTTGGTCAGCTTGGACACCTTGGTGCTTAGCTGGCTGCATCTGGAAGGGGAGAAGGGGGAACTGAGGCAACGGCGGCAGCAGCAGCAGCAGAAGCATCTTTACCGGGATAAAAGGAGCAGGGATTTCTGTCTGTCTTGAAAATGACACATTGCCTCTCTGAAGTCTGACAAGCACACTGCCCTGGAAGATATTTCACCCCTCTAGGGCAAACCTATGGCACGCGTGCCAGAGATGGCACAGACAGAGCCCTCTCTGCTGGCACAGGCGCCGTCGCCCCAGGTCAGATCTCCGTGGTGTTTCTTTCCCGAGCTTCTGTTTCCTTGCAAACGACGAAACAGAAGCTCACGAAAGAAAGATCTTACTTCTTGCCTCGCTGCCGGTGTTGGGATGGCCCACCAGCCGGGTCTCTGCTGCGCATGTGCAGATGTCCACGCAGTTTGGGCAGTCGGTGTCTAAAAGGTTTGCCATCACCCCTTTAGGGCTTAATACTGGCAGTCCTCGACTTGCAACTGTTTGAAGTTACAACAAAAAAAAGGAGAATTCTGACTCAAATTTGAAATTCTGACACTTGCCCCTCCCCCCACCTCAATCTCTAAATTCCTATGACTGGAACTGAAGCGCTAAGGCAACTGCCATGAAATTTCATTTTAATGTATGCCAATTATATACATTCAGTGTGACCATAAAGTTATTCTAAGTCTAACCGTGGCTTCATTTACGGCTGTTTGCAGGATTCTGTCATCAAGCGATTGCATTTTACGACAGTTTTACCAAAAGCTAGCACTTCCAGTTTTCAGCAAAACCCTGATTGCTTTGTTTAAGAACTGCAGCATTTGCTTAACGATTGTTGCAAAAAATAAAATAAATAAAAAAACCCCACCAACTTCAGGTCATGTAACTGTTTTATGACCATCATGGATGGTCTCCCATCATAGCTGCATGTCAAGGACTACCTCTATGTCGCTCCTAAGGACGTTAATTCCGGACCAAGAGGAAACCAGCTGGTCCTCGGGGGGGGGGGGGGGGGAGATTGGAGTCAAAAATCACAAAGGAGATGCATTTTGCACCCAGATCACTAATTTTAGGAACGTCCAGTTCTAAATTCTGAAAGTTACCCACTTCCTTTCGATCGACTGCCGCTCCTTCAGTAAGTCGTTCAGTCTGTGTTCCAGCGAGTCGCATTTCTCAATAGTCTCTTTAAATTTGGCCTTCATGTTGTTGATCTGTAAATGATATTTTTTAAAAATGGGCATTTTAAGTTCCAGCTGGGTGCTCTCTGCATGGCTCAGAATCCGATTCAGGACCATTCTTCTCAAGAATTTTTCTGGGCGAGTAGGAATTGCTACAGTGAAGTGGTTTCCCAACTTTGGGTTGGGAAACGAACAGCGATTCCTTGGAAGAATGTTCCTGGAGCTCCCTTTGAAAAGGATGGACTCTGCTTTGGAAGAGGAAACATAGACTGAGCAGAGAGAAGGAACCAGCCCATGAAGTGGCTTCCTTAGTCCAGCATGGCTACCTGCAGGTTCTGAGATCCCAAGCCCTTCTCAAGGGACTTCTTGGCTGGACTTCGGCCCCAAGAGCGAACCAGGCATTCCTAAATGGAAGGAGCTCAATCTGACCCTGCAATCTGGTTCCTGCTGTCTACAAGAACAAAGCTTTCAGAAGGAACTTACTTCTTCGGCCGTATCCTTTTCTATTCGGACGATCTTGTTCTCCCAGTAGATGCGCTGGGACTCCAACTGGCTGGTTAGCAAGTAGGAATACTGCATTCAGAGAGAGAGAGAGAAAGTGGACAAGCCATCCTTATGTTCTTTAGAGCACGTGTCTCCAACCTTGGCCACTTTAAGACTTGTGGACTTCAACTCCCAGAATTCCTCATCCAGCAAAGCTTCACGAAGCTGAGGAACTCTGGGAGTTGAAGTCCACAGGTCTTAAAAGTTGCCAAGGTTGAAGACACCTGCTCTAGAGGACAGCTGGAATCCCATCCCGGAGGTCTCCTCCACTCCAAGTTACATTCAAGAAAGACAACCCTAGACTATGAAAAACATTCCACAGAGGATCCATTGAGTTAGCCATGAAAATCTCCACAAACAAACCGTCTGGGAAGAGCAGTGATGCACACTTACTTCTAATTGTAAGGCATCAATTTTCTCTTCTTGACACACATCCCCCTCACATTCGTACTGAACCAGCTTGCCATCTGTTTTGCTGGCCACCAGACGGTGGACATAATTGTCTAGAGAAAAGACAACAACCAACTGGTCATCCTGAATCAAGGTCCGAATCAAAGCAGCTCAGGAGTCACCTCCAACTATGGCCACCTTCAGGTGTGTGTTAAGGGAGAAGATTCACCTGGCTGAGAACTTGGCTCCTTTTGAGGTAAAGAAGTGGTGGCCCTCAACTTCTCCCCACCCAAGGACGTCTTGCTCTCAAAAACGGAGCCCTCTCTGATTATAGCAAAGTAGATGGACCAGGGGTCTCCCCAACTAAAGGGGGTGGTCCACTTTGGGGTGTGGCTCGGTGGTCTGTGGCACAGGGCTTACCCCCGGCGTAGTCCCAGACCCTGTGATTGGTCAGCTGCATGGCGTAGGTGTGTTGTGTCTCCTCAAAGTGCTTGTATGCGTGCCGGCTCACGTAACGCCCGCATCCAATGTGCCCGCAGATGAGGCATATCCACAGGTTCTGTATAACAGAAAGAGCAATACAACTGACATCCAGGGGGGAAAAACACCCAAATTCTATTTCCGAAGAAGCAACACTGCTGATTTATGAACAGACATGGATCCAGACTCACTCACTTCTTGGACTCCACATTCAAAACATTTGTTTTCTTCTACAGGTTCCGGAGTCTGGCAGTACCTGCAGACGGGGCACCTGGAGAAGGGAGAAAAGAGAAGGCCTTGAGGACTCCAAATTAGGTCACCCGGCTTTAACCTTCTGGATCTCCATTGCCCCTGCTCTGATCCACCTTTCCGCCCTTGTGAGGGTCTTACGTGGTGTCCTCCCACCGCTGCAGACACTGACTGTGGAAGCTGTGGTTGCAGACCGTGGTCAGGATCCCGTTGACCGATTCATCCATCCTCTCCAAGCAGACGGTGCATTTGGGGAGCTCGGTCAGGTCCATGACGGGCAGGCTGGCCCCCTGTGGGAGGAGAAGACATCTGGCCTCAGTGTCTCCCAATCCTGGCCACTTGAAGGTGTGTGGACTTCAACTCCCAGAATTCCCCAGTCAGCAGGTTGGAAAACCCTGTCTTAGCCAGTCCACCTTCCAGTTGCAATGAACAGCAACGGGAAACCTCTGCAAGCTGGTCTGCTAGGTATCGTAGGACATAAGCAAATTTCCTCTGGAGTATCAGAAAACGCTGCGGGGCCTTATCACCGTACTATCCCCCCTGTGACCCCCCGCCCCCAATCTGGCCTCGCTTCAGCGGCATCTTACACCAGAAGATGGCTAACTGGGGAGAGATCTCCCCCTCCCAGAAAGGAAACAGAGAACAAGAGACAGCTTACGGCTTCTGACTTGAAGACCTCTGCCCTTTCCACGTAGACGAGCTGACAAACGTCCTCTTCTATGGAGTTAAACTGCCGACCGTTGCAAGTCATGTAGAAGCTGTCTGCATCTGCCTGCACAGAAGCCACAGGAGAACAGTTTGGAGGGACACAAATTGTAAATGATCAGAGGTCTATTTCCCTTCTCCTCCCACCTCCTCAAAAAATAAATAATATAAGAACAGGCCAGCGGCACTCGCTTACACAGCCCCTTCCTCTCTCAGATTCAGGACTTTCTAGTTGCAAGAGCAGCATACGTGTTTCTGGATCACAACCAGACAGAAGAGGCACGGAAGGAGCCTTCAGCCCAAAGCTGAAGTCGCTCTTTGTTCTTACCTGGGTCCGGAATTTGATGAGGACCATGTACTGGTTTGGGGTGGAATCTCGGATGATTTTCATGTGTTCAATGACATCATAAAAAGACGCCACAAACTTCATGAGGTCGTGGCTGGTCATTGTGGCAGGGACTGTGAGAATACACAGCATGGCGCTACGCCGCACCTCTTCTTTTAACGAGGTCATTTTGCTGCACAAAGGAAGAATTAAGACTAGTCAGCAAGTCCATTCTTTTTGCTTCGACTCTTTTTTGCAGTGTTAGCTAATCTTAACTGCTTTAAGACATCTGGACTTCACCTCCCAGAATTCCCCTTCACCCACAGCCTTTCCTTCTCAACGGAAGAGGAATTTCATAGTGATGGCAGCTTTCCAGATCCTTTAAAGCAGGGGTCTCCAAACTTGACAACTTTTAAGGCTTGTGAACTTCAACTCCTAGAATTCCCCAGCCGGCCATGCAAGTGGGGAATTCTAGGAATTGAAGTCCACAAGTCTTAAAGTTGCCAAGCTTGGAGACTCTCCTGCCTTAAAGCATTTAATGTGAGTCCTGCTTTCTTACTTTGTCTTGTAGAGGTGCATAATGCCGTGAGCTATTTCAACCGATGGATTCCCACTGAAAAAGGAAATCTGGTCAGGGAGCTGCTTTGATGGAGAATCCGGTGTAGTCCCACTGCTTCCACTTTGGCCATCCTGATTATTGTAACCCTCAGTGGAGGAAGCCTCAGCTGCGCCAACTTTGTCCATCATCTCTTTCACCTCATCTTTTTCAGAAATCCAAAAACAGATAAGTTAGAAACCTGACACTTCCAAACTGCAATCCATACCTATTTTAAGATCTTTTCTCATTAAAAGGTAAGGGACTGCTTTGAAACAATGGGAAAAATAATGGCAGAAGATTTCTTAGAAATGTTTTGTCAGTATAAAAATAGGCCATTAAGATTTTGAATTCAGAAAAGCTGCTCAGCTCATATTTCTCAACAATGCTGTACCAGAAGACTAAAGGTTGCCAGTAACAATCCAGAGTCAAGTACTAATTTCTAATCATTGGTCCTATTGATTCATACGCTCATAAAAAATTAATAAGCAGACTTCAAGAATCACTTGAAATGGTGCCTTGCAAACAAGCTCGCATAAAGTTGCTTGCAAGTCAATCTGTTTAACAGCCTGCCTGCCCGCCCAGATGCAATTCTCTGCATTTTTGTGGGGAAAAAAACCTTGGATTTCTTGCTAAATGCCAAGCTGACCTCAGAAGGTAGGTTTCGCCTGGCCTTCAAAAGCTGCTTATTAACCAGGGAGGTTGGATGGATGCACGGACAGACATATATACAAATATGCACCGTGAAATTTACATAATTCCAATCAAATAGTGCTTCTCCACTTGTGCCAATCATTCTCTATGTCCTAGAGAAATGTACTGCTCGTCCTTCTACTTGGGGCACCAAACGACGTGTCACAGGTACCTGGATCTGGCTTTATCGTCTCGATGATCACATCCGTCATCTCCCGCCGGCCAATGTGTTGGTGGATTATGGTCGCCTTCTCCACGGGTGCCTTGCCCTCCAAGGTCACCGCAGCGGCGGCCAGCGACGTCTCCTGCATCACCTCATCAGACATCTCGGTAGCTGAAAAGCATGATTCACCCGGCTGTTGCAGAGTTTCCGCACAAACACAAGCACAGCCGCAGCCAAACCAGACCAGATAAACCTGAACCAGCCCCGTGCAAGGAGCTCGTTTAGGCCACGGGCTGTTTGGACGCCTCCCTGCCTCTTCCTCCCCTGGGTCCACCTTCACCCTCTGACCCACAAGAGGGCCGAGAGCCTCGCTTCGCCCATCCACTTGCCAAACGTATTATAAACAGACCCACAGAGAGAGAGAGAGATCGAATAAAGAAGGCCTGACCGACGTTGCCCTAAATCGGGGTCTTTCAAGCAGGGGAGCGTTAAGGTGGGTGGACTTCAAGTCCCAGAATTCTGCCGGGTGGGGGATTCTGGGAGTTGGAGTCCTCCCGTCTTAAGCTTGAAAAACACCGATTTAGACACAGCAGGACCGAAATATTTCGTCTTTCCCGGCCTATCGCTTCCTCTAGCAGCCGCCCCCAGCTCTCCTGCCCCCCCTCTAGCCGTGTCACCCCCACACACACACACACAGAGAGACCCTCGCAGCCCCCCTAAGAGAAGCCCCCAGGCCCTCACCGGCAGCGCTGTAAGAGAAGCCGCCCGGCACGGGCGAAGACTCGGCCAGCTCCAAGCGAAGGACCACCAGAGACACACTCATAGGGGCCGCCCCGCGGAGGGTCCCGGGCCTGCGGGGTCCGAGCTCGGGCGGGAGGGAAACGGGAGAAACGGGAGCCCTCCGCCGCCTCGGATTGCCGAGCGCTTCCGCCTCTCCGCCCTCGTGACCTTTGACACGGGGGCAGGAGGGGCGGCGCGCAGGCGCTGTGCGCTGCAGGGGGCGCGGCCGTGAGGTCACGCGGGGGGCGAGTGGGCGGGGCCAATGACTCCTCCTCCTCCACCCCTTCTTCCAAACCCGGAAGGGCTCCTCTGCTCCGCTGTAGTCCAGCTTCGGTCGAAGGCTTCCCAGGAGGGGGCAGTGGGTAGGAGTGGAGCATGGGACCTCTTGGCTGCGGAGGATGGGCGGTGTAGTCGACCCACGGCTTGTATTTTGCTTTAAAGAGCCCTGGTTGGTTCTGGAGGAGGAGGTGGAACCTCCAGGGGAGAGGCTAGAGGAGGGGGCTGGTTGGGGACAATGGGAGTTGGAGTCCAGCGCATCGGTCGGGGGCTAGGAAGGCTGAGGTCGGCCGGGGAACCCCGTTCCTGGAGGTCGACAGGCTGGAGATGCCAAGTGGGACCTGCCTCCAGGCTCCTCCTGGGTTTTTGGGTGGGGGGGGGCTTGCCCGCCCCCTCCCTCCAGGGAGGAACATCTCTGGTCCCTGCTTTTCTGAAGCGCTTTGGCCTCTACAAATAATAATAATAATAATGATAATAATGATAATGATAACAATAATAACAACAACTTTATTGTCATTGTACGTGTATACACAGACAATGAAATTCACTTAACACCCAAAGACCAGGTCCAACACCAACAAATGATGCTGCTATAACAGCCTTTCTCAATCTTGGCCACTTAAAATATGGGTGGACGTCAACTCACGGAATTTCTGGCTGAGGACTTCTAGGAGCTGACGGCCACCCATCTTCAAGTGGCCATGGCTTAGAAACACTGGCCCATAAGAAGTGACGGGATTTTTTAAAAATCTACACGATAGTCCGCATTGTGTCAAAAAATATGCCCAGTATATACAACTCAGTGTAAAAAATATGCTCCAATATTCTCTTTTGCACAAGTCTCTGAAGCCTTCCCTCTGCTTTGACATGCGCAGTCCCAGACCATGGGTTTCGGGAGAATTTTCCAAGCCTTTTGCAGCTGCCCTGCAAGGAGGGTACCGATCCTTTGGTCTTCCTGGCACAAGGCCCCAGACGTGGCTTCCCGGTGGAGGAATTACGCATCCTGTCCCTACAAAGCGGTGATCTTTGACATGGGTGGCGTCCTCCTTCCTTCTCCATACAAACTGGGCATGGGTAGGTGATTTTCCCAGAGTTTATACCATCACCTTCTCTTCCCTCTGCTGGTTCTGTGTGAAGTTTCTCTGCTTTCAGCTGTTGAATTTCTCCCACCTTCTGGAGCAGCAGGGAGAGTCGTTTTGAAACCGAAAACGGCTTCAATGGCTGAGCACCAGCTCAAAATCGTAATTCCTGAAGCATCCTCAATGTTGGTTTTACTCCTGTGCTGCTTAATTATTCTTAAAATCTTTTGTATCCCGAGAGAGAAATATGATTTCCTCACTGGACTGCCTGCCTTTATTTAGATTGGGAGATTCGGAATCGTGTCCCCGCCGGCACCATCAAAGAGGCCTTAAGATCCGGGGGTGAGGACAGGCCCTGGATGAGATTCATGAGAGGGCAGCTGAAGTGGGCAGAATTTCTACACGAGTTCAGACAACAGTGCTCCAGAATTGTAAGCCAGGTTTTTTCCTTTGATTCCTGTGGGATGAGTAAGGGAGGAGGGTCTTAAGGTGAATATATGTGGAAGCCCCTTGGGCCCCAGGGTTAATGTCCTTTTTCCCAATAAGCCCGTTTGTTTTTCCGAGTTAGAGCTGGATGAAGTCAACCAGAAAAAAATCCATCACTGTGCTGGGCATTTAAAACTGTTCATGGCTACCATGCTATCTCAGAAACCAGACTTAGTTTTCTTCTAACTAAAAAAAAAGAGAGAGAGAAACTTTACAATTGAATTTATAAACTATGTAAAGATTATTGATGTTTATTTCTTCACTGGAAAAAACCACCCCGTCCTACATTTCTTTTTCCCTCCCCAGGCAAATGCTTCTGTTCCAGCGGACTCTTTCCTTTTTGAATTAACCAGAATACAAATGTCAGACCAGCTCCCTGCTATGACTGAGGCCGTAAAGTGCATCAGAGCCAGAGGTCTCAAGACGGCCGTTTTGACGAACAACTTTTATCTAGAAAATGGAGAGAGTTTTCTGCCTATAGACAGAAAGCAATTTGATGTGGTAAGTTCTTTGTGCTCCACAGAAACTCCCATTCCTTGGAGCTATTACTTCATTGTGATAGTTGCAGTTTAATAATTATGCTTGCCTAAACTTGTATAAGAGTACGCAGGGCTCGTGAAGGAAAACGAATTATATTTTTCTCTACGTAGGTCCCATAATGGAATAACTTAGAAGAAGGATTCGGTATCTTGGCTGCTTGGACCCCTCAGATTTCCTTGTTCAACTGATGATTATCTAACTGCCTTTGCTAAAAAATAATCTTTAAAAAAAAGATTAATTGGGAGCATCTGGCTAGCCAAATTTCTCACTTGATTAATCAGCTGCATGAAAGAGTACATTCTGTTGTTACTTGGTTAATAACTTTAAGGCCAGGAATCAAACCTTGAACCCTCCCTAAACCCTCATGTGAAACATAGGACGCTATTGGCTTTTTCTGTTCTGTTTATTTTATTTCCGAATCCCTTCCCCACTCCCTCCCTCCTGCCTCATTGCCTGGGTGTTCGGCTTTTTCTCCCAGGTTGTGGAATCTTGTCGGGAAGGGGTGTGCAAACCCGACCCTCGCATCTACCAGCTGTGCTTGGAGCGCCTGGGTGTCCTGGCCAAGGAGTCCATCTTTCTGGATGACATCGGACAGAACCTCAAAGCTGCCAGCCAACTTGGCATTAAGACCCTGAAGGTGAAGAAGGGGTGCAGGAAGGAGGACACTTTTAAAACCAGTCTTCCCAGAGCTGAGCCAACCTCCTTCAGTTAAGACTTTTTTTGAAGCTATTCTCTAGATATAAATATCTAGCCCTACTTCTTTGGTCATGTCTTCCCAGCAGAGATATTTGCAGATATACTTGCTTTGTGCATGGAAACTCTGTTTTAAACACAGGGTTCTTCTAAGCCTATTTGCTGCTTCAGCTCCTCCGTTCCTTCCTCTGCTCAGGTCGATGATGCGGACTCTGCAGTTCAAGAATTAGAGACCTACCTCACTTTCCCCTTGCGTTGCATGATTCCTTACGCGTCTTCTGTGAGGCCGGCCATGGAAATCCCCACAGCGCCTCTACAAAAGTATCTTGAAAACATCTTGGGGGCCCAAGCGAAAGGTACAGGAGTCGATATTCCCATTTTGCATTGGGGTGGGGGGCAGAGATTGTCTTTATTTGGAATATTCAGTGGTGCTCCTGTTAGCAGGTTATGTAAAAAAAACCAGTGAACTTTAATGGCAGAAGGGTGCAGGTTAGGGCCAAACATCTGCTCCAAACTTTCTCACTTTGCAGAGTTGCAAAGATAAAATGGAGGGAACCCCGGATTCTGTGCGGGGTCTCCTGGGGCCCTCTGGTTCACGTGTGCTCTTCCTGATCGTCCTTCTTGGCTGCGACTTTGCAGGTTCTCTGGAGCTGCACCAGTTCAGCCACGGGCAGTCCAATCCGACTTACTACATCAGATTTGGGGACCATCAGTTGGTTCTAAGGAAGAAGCCACCGGGGAAGCTCTTGCCCTCCGCTCACGCGGTAGAGAGAGAATACAGGTAAAAAAAATCTGGCAAATATAGCGATAAATTATGTGAAAATGCTAACAAGCGAAACTCCCAGCCTTGTGGATGACCATATTCATTGTTGATGATAATTGGAACTGAGAGGTATCATCTGAAGGGCACTACATCTATGATTATTTCTTCTTCTTTTCCTCCTCCCACAGCACTTCTTCCCATCTTAATTCTCTTCTCTTTTTGTTGGGTAGGGTCCTGAAGGCCCTCAGGGATACTGGCATCCCTGTTCCAAAAGTCCTGGCCTTATGTGAAGATTCAAGGTGAGTTCTGGGCCCAATTCTGCATGAGATGGAGTTTTGGGGGGCTGAAAACCTCACGATCCCCTGCTGACGTCCTGGTGTTGCTCTAGTGTCATCGGCACCCCCTTCTACCTGATGGAGTACAGCCCCGGCCGGATCTTCAAGGACCCTTCTCTCCCAGAGCTGGAGCCCCACCAGCGGACGGAGGTTTATAGTGCCATGAATAGCGTCCTCTGTCAAATCCACAGCGTGGGCATCCAAACTGTTGGCCTGGAGGATTATGGAAAACACAGTAGGTCAAGCGCCTCTCGGCTGCTCCCTTGCAGGAACTCTGGTCTTTGGGATTATGTTAAAATAAAATGGGATCCTCTGATGGAAAGAAAGCTTCAGGTTGGTGCAGGGACATTTCTGGAGGAAAGAGCCCTCCAGGTGATGAGAGAGAAAAGTTAAAACTCTGGAACTTTTTTGTTCCTCTGAGATTGTAAGCCTGTACCCGTTTAAAATGGATTTGTGTAGGATTTTTTTTACAAAGAGCAGGATAAACGTTACTTCATGGAGATATTAATATTGTAGGCAATTATGTCCAGCGGCAAATCCAGACCTGGAGCAAGCAGTATCGAGCCACGGAGACTCACACAATCCCAGCCATGGAGAGGCTTCTCAAATGGTTCCCGTCCCACCTTCCAGCCAGTGAGCAGCTCTCGGTTGTTCATGGAGATTTCAGGTACTGGCTGACCTGCCGTGTTTCCCCTGGTTTTACAGAAGCTTTTTTAGAAGCAGGAAAGTAGGGGGGAAAATATAAATATATATATATATATATATATTTTAAAATAAGGAAATGGAGAGACTTGGGACCAATTCTTTGTGTGCTGCAGGCCCTGAAATAACATTTCAGAATGGATCCTTTCCGGCCTGGGAAAGAAACCTGACTTTGGTTCTCAGCTGATGCAGGATATTTAATTGTCTCTGCAGAATGTGCACCAATTGGAAAATTGGGGGGGAGCAGTGTCCTCATTCTTGCCTCTTCCCTCCCCACCTGCCCAAACAATTGGCTTTGCGGTTCATTAAAATTAGGGAGAACCTAAACCTCAGCCACCAGCAACCTCCAAACTAGAAGAAAAGACTTGAGTTCATTTTCTAAAAAAAGAAAGAAGGAAACTTCCTCCCAAGCCTGACATGTTTTGGGACCCCTCCCCAACTCGTGTGGCACTTGGCCATCAGAAGACCATCTACCTTTCAGCAACCTTCTCCGATCTGCTGGGTTGGAATTGCAGTTCCAAGGTGGGCAAAGATGCCCTTGTGACCGACTGGGCTTCTCTGCAGCGGCTGCTTTTCCCTTTATAGGCTGGACAATCTTATCTTCCACCCTGAGAAACTGGACGTTGTTGCTGTCCTTGACTGGGAGCTCTCCACCTTGGGGGACCCGCTCTGTGACGTGGCCTATAACTGTCTGCCGTATTTCATGCCTTCAGACTGCAGTGTCATAAAAGGTGCCTGCGTGTTCCCAAGCATCGGGGGTAAACAGAGGGGTCCCAATTAAACAGCAGAATGCCAGAGTTGGAAAGGACATGGGAGGTCTTCTAGTCCAACCCCCTGCTTAAGACCCGATGCCAGGGGTGAAATGCTCCAGGTTTGGAGACCCAGATTGGCAGCTCAGCCCGGTGGGAAGATGTGGGTTTCCTGCCGCAGGTATTTATAGAGGCTCCAGCTTTCCCTCTATTCCTTCATGGAGAAGGAAGAGGGCAGCAAGACTGCAATCCCAGTCCTGCGCTTGGACCAGGCCTAACCCAGCTTGCCTCTTTCCAGGCTTGAGTGACCGTGACCTCAACCAGCTGGCCATTCCCACGGCAGAGGCCTACTTGCAGATGTACTGCCGTCACCGAGACATCCCTCTGGTCCACAACTGGAACTTCTACATGGCCTTTTCCTTTTTCAGAACAGCTGCCATCCTACAGGGGGTCTACAAGCGCTTCCTCGCAGGTGATACAGGCTGCCTTCCTCGCAGGGGGTTTGTGGGTGGGCAGAAAAAGTGCTGGGAGCAGCCCAAGGTACGACCGCAAAAGGTACAGGCCACTAAGCCCCTAAGCGCTTTCCCCCACCCAGGCCAGGCCAGTTCAGCAACAGCCGAAAGTGCTGGGAAGCTTGCGGAGTTCATGGCGGACCTTGCCTGGGATTTTGCCACAAAGGAAGGCTTCCGGATCTTCAGGGAGCTTCCGAGTTCTGGACCACCCGTCAGGATGTTCAGGACTTGGGCCAGCCCAAGGTTGCTTCCAAAGAGAGACTACGCCACGCAGAGCCCTGCATCCAAGTCCCACCTGATCTTCTCCCCTGAGGGCCTGCCCAGCCGCGTCCAGGAGCTGCACCACAAGCTGAAGAGATTCATGGATGCCCACATTTACCCATCTGAGCAGCTCCTGCGAGATCACCAGTCTTCCCCGAGTAGGTGGACTCCCCATTCTCTGGTAGAAGAGCTGAAGGCAAGTTCTTCGTCCTTGAGAAACCTGGCCAGCTCCGTGGTTGGTGGCCACAGGGACACGGCTTTATCAAGGGATGTGGTGCTTTGCAAAACGATTAAATGGGGGGGGGGGTTGGCCTCCTGCCCCAAGAAGCTTGCAAGATCAGGTTTCATCAGTCACAGGAGGAGGACTAAGAGGGGACGAGAGGAAAGGGCAACGGATCTCAGATGTTCTGATTTCGGTTGGAGGGCTGAAGGCAAGGAGCTAAGGCAGAGTTTCTCTACCATAGCAGCCTTAAGATGCGTGGACTTCAACTCCCAGAATTCCCCCATGCGCCTCATTTTTCTCTCTCCTCTCTTTCTTCTCATCCTGCAGGAGAAGGCAAAATCCGAGGGGCTCTGGAACCTTTTCTTGCCCTTGGAGAGTGATCCAGAGGCGAAATACGGAGCAGGCTTGACCAACATGGAATTTGCCCACTTAAGTGAACTGATGGGGACTTCAGTCTATGCCCCTGAGGTACCCAGGAGAAAGCCCCGAGGGGGACAAGCTGGGGCAGAAGGCTGAGGCCACGTCCTCCTTGCGCCTCCTCTACCCCACAAGGGCCGTTCATCCCTCCAGGCCCAAAGAGCCACAGATCAGACCCCAAAGCCCTGCCGGTGCAGCTGTGCTTGGTCTACTGCTGCTCTGCTCCTCTTGATCTCCTTCCCTTCTGAAAACGGTTAAGGACCGTCTCTGCTCCCACCGAAGAATTACCCAGCCTCTCATTTCCAGATTCAGGGAACGCTTTGACTAACCCCCTCAGCTAATCATGGTTGCCTCCTCCAGGTCTTCAATTGCTCTGCTCCAGACACTGGCAACATGGAAGTGTTGGTACGCTACGGCACAGATGCCCAGAAGGAACGCTGGCTGGTGCCTTTGCTGGAAGGCAAGATCCGCTCCTGCTTTGCTATGACAGAACCCCAGGTCGGTGCCCAGCTCCATCCCACAAGTCTCAGCGTTTGAATCCGCGGAGGAAGCTCCGGTCTGGTCCAGAATAGAGACGGAGGGGCTGATGTACTTGCCCCCCTGCAAGGAAGTGTGTCTTTCCTTAGGTCGCTTCCTCTGATGCCACCAACATTGAGGCTTCTATTACCAAAGAACAAGACGCTTACCTACTGAACGGGCACAAGTGGTGGATTTCAGGTATGTCCTGATGTGCTCCTGGGTTTCCATGCTACAAAGGGCAGGCTAAATTAAAAAAAACAAACACACAGTTGTGTTGTGGAAGGAGAGCTTCCTCGTGTCTTTGATGGACAGTCCCGGAGGTTGTCCTGGAACCTGTAGAAAGCCAAAGCGGGCATCTTCTCTGGAGATCAAAGTTTCGGGCACATTTGATCCTGGTCCAAATCAACAGCCTGGTTCAATCCCCAGTAAGCTTCCCCTGTTCAAGAGCGGAGAAGAAAGGAAGGATAGGCGGATTCAGAGAGCATCTTTTCTCAACGTAGAAAAGTTCATTCTCGTTCATTCCGGCAGGTTCCCTGGACCCTCGTTGCCAGCTCTGCATCTTTATGGGCAAGACGAACCCTGAAGCCCAGAGACACAAGCAACAGTCGATGCTCCTGGTCCCCATGGACTCCCCTGGCATCACCGTCACTCGGCCCCTCAGCGTGTTCGGCTTGGAAGACGCCCCAGGTGAAGCCGAGGGTCCTCTCTGGTTTAGCTGGGGAGGTTTCGCTCTGAGTCTCTTAGCTGTTCAGTGATTTTGTGGGACGGGTAACGGCCTGGAACCCCTTCGCGGTCAGTTCAGACAAAGCCTCTCAGGGGGCTCCAAGTTGTGGACAGCCCTTCTCACATCCTTTCTTTTCTAGCTGGCCACGGACAGATGACCTTTGAAAACGTCCGCGTTCCCCAAGAGAACCTCCTGCTCGGTCCTGGCCGCGGGTTCGAAATTGCCCAGGGGCGGCTGGGCCCTGGAAGGATCCACCACTGCATGAGGCTGATCGGCCTGGCGGAAAGAGCGCTAGCCCTCATGAAGGAGCGGGTGAGTGGCTCCACAAAGGCAGCTTGGCGTCCCTTGGACTAGCTCTTTGCTAGCTCTTATTCCGTGGGTCTTGGGAAGGGGATACGAGGCTTTGTGGGGTCTCTTATTTGGGGCAACCCTTTCCTCCTGGTGCCTTGGTTGGCAGGTGACTACCCGCGTGGCCTTTGGAAAGCCGCTAGCAGAGCAGGGCACCATCAGGGCGGATCTGGCCGAGTCCCGCCTGGAACTGGAGCAGGCCCGGCTCCTTGTCCTCAAGGCGGCCCATCTCATGGACACTGTGGGAAACAAGGTAAGGGGAAAGGGGGGAGAGAATCCCCAAGATGGGAACGCCATGAACCCAAGCTCTCCTTTCGGCTCGAGGTCGTCCGCAGCAGCAGAAGGCACCGCATGCACTGGGAGTGGGGGGGGCTTCTTGTGAGGGGTACGGCAACCAGTGGGATGCTCTCTCCTGGCCTGTGTGGGAAAGCCTCCAAAAGGCCCCACTGGGCTCCTGTCTCAACCCATCTAGGAAGCCGCTCTGGAGATTGCCTTGATCAAAGTAATGGCTCCGAGGGTGGCGCTCCGGGTCATTGACCGAGCTATCCAGGTGAGAGCCAGGGCAGCTTTTTGACACTTGCCTCTGATCCTAATTTCTCTCCTTCAATTTAGGGCAGGGGCGGTCCAATCTTGGCAACTTTTAAGACTTGTGGACTTCAACTCTCAGAATTCCTCAGCCAGCCATGGGCAATTCTGGGAATGGACGTCCACAAGTCTTAAAGTCACCAAGGTTGGTAGGGATTCCTTCTTGGGGGTTTCATCCAGCCTGCCAATTCTTGCAAACCTTTCAAACTTCCCCTTGGCTTTCTATCTTTCCCCCAGGCCTTTGGTGCAGCAGGCCTCGGCAGCGATCTGCCCCTGGCCCAGGCCTTTGCTTGGGCACGAGTCCTGCGCTTGGCCGATGGCCCCGATGAGGTCCACAAGGCAGCCATCGCGAAAATGGAACTGAAACGCTAACTGGGCCTCGGTGGAGTCTGAGCGGACACGCGAGGCCACATTTTCCAGCAAGGCTCAACAGCTTCTGGAGTTGACTGGCAGAAATACTCTACAGGAGCAGCAATGAAGAATTGCTCAGCTGGCCTCCTCTCGATTTTGCTGGCTGCTGCTCTGGATTTTGAGCACCAGGAAGTGCTTTCTTGATCTCGGGAACTTGGTTCATCTTTGCTTTTCTTTGGGAAGCCGAGAGGAGGGAGAAGACGGGGAGAATCTTCCAGTGGTTTCTTGCTAAGGGGCGTCTGCTCAGTCCATTAATGCAAGGACTGTGATTTGGGGGCGATTTAATATTTTTGATAATGCAGGGGGCGAAATCATGAGGGAAATAAAACCACCGTGAAAGGTGCAGCGTTAGAAAAACCAGCAATAAATGTACTGTTTGCTTTTCTCAGATGACAAGTTCTCAAGCTTGGTTTCTTTTATGCAGAAACTGATAAAAAAACGGGCAGAGGGAGGGACGCTTTGGTGAGGGGGAGCCACCCGTGATTGGGGAACAAAGACTGTTCTTGTTCTAGGCGGCTCAAGGTCCCTTTGACACGTGCAGGAGGCCCTCTACGCCAAGCCCTGGAGCCCAAAGCCAAACCCTCCCAAGGATCTGGCACCTGTTTTACTTGGGGGAACCAGATTTGGGGGTTCTTCACCTTCCATCAAAGGAAACTTCCGTGGAAGGAAGCCAAGAAGAGTCTCGATTGGGGATTTAGTGTCCAGGCAAGAAGCCCCCGAGAAACACATGCAACCACGGACCGGACCCTCCCCTCTGGAAATCTGCCTGCCGTGGAAGGGGCTCTCCGAAGGCAGCAGCTCTGCCACGGGGGAGGGGGATTCACGGGCGTAACGTGTGAAGGGGGCTGAAGGCAATGCGGGGGCGGGGCGGCCGCCTGGCTCAGCTGCCATTGGCTGTCGGGAGGCGGAGGGCCGAGCCCGGGCCCCTCCCCGGCCGAGAAACGGGGTGAAAAGGCAGCGGCGGCGGCGGTCCTCCCTCCCTCCCTCCCTCCCTCCGCCCGAGAAAATGCTGCGCCTGGCCCTGCGGAGCTCTGCCCGGCTGCGCCCCGGGGCGCTGCTCCGCCTCGCCTGCCAGCCCCTCTCCGGCGCCGCCGTCCCCGCGCCCAACCCGCAGCCCGACATCGCCTACAACAAGGTGAGGGGCGCCGGCCTGGCCTTCCTGCAGGGGGCTCTGCGCCAGCACGTGCACAACTCCCACTCGCCGCCTCCCCCGCGGAGGGCAGGAGTGGGCGTGGGGGGCAGGAATGCGGGGCGGGGGCGGCTCGGAGGCTCCCTCGGAAAGGCGAAGTCGGCAGCGCTGGGGAGCCTGGCGGGTGGGCGGGAGGGAGGCCGCGGCTGCTTGGAGCCGAAGCTTCCTGATCGCGGGGGTCTCGCCCCGCCCGCCGCCCGCTTACCTGCCGCCCAGGTGGGCCCAGGCGGGGAGGCCGCAAAAGCATCCAGCGGGCCCGGCGCCCACCGAGTCGGGCGAGCAGAACCGATGCGGACGTCGCAAACGCGTCTGGAACCGACGTGGCGCCCTGCCTGAGCCTCTGGCAAAATAGGCGCTGGACAAGCCGCGCTCCGGCCGTCTCTGGACTGCGCAACTACCCGCCTCTTTACTGTGAAAGTCCGCTTCGCTCAGTTCATTGCTGCCATTAGTCATAACAGAAGCACCATTAGGTCTCTCCATTGCCAGATTAATTTTCCCTAAATTTGCCCTGTGGGAGGAACTGGGAGTGAGGCAGAGTAGAGTATCTCACCTCGGAATTAGGATCTAGGCTCACTATGAAAAATATTTCTCAAGTTTTTCAATTATTGCAAGCAATGGCCAATGGTTATAGCTGGCCGAAAATCAGGCATTCACAGGTGTGGAGGTTTTGCATAATAGCCTTGCATTTATTGAGTGTGAAAGCAATAAAGTGTGTCCCATTTATTGTTTATTGCCCATTGTTCCAAAACAATCACCAAACATAAGGGATTAAGATTCCTCTCTCAACCTGACAGTTCTTTGTTCTTCTGAATTGCAGATTTTCATCAACAACGAATGGCAGGATGCGGTCAGCAAGAAAACCTTCCCCACCATCAACCCATCCACGGGGGAGGTCATCTGCCAGGTTGCGGAGGGCGACAAGGTACAATATATGGTACACAAAGCCCCAGTTCATCCGGTGCCAGCTGCAGATTTTATGTTTGAAAACTTAAGCAGGCGCCTAAATGGCCGTTTCCTCCCCTGGTTCAGAATTGGTTGCGATCCTGAGAAGCATCGCCTATCAAAAGCGGCAGTGAGGCCCTCAAGACAATAATTTCTAGATGGTTTTGAGTTCGCCCAAAGAAGGCTATCTGGTTTGTAAGGAAGCGTCCAGGCTGTGTCTGAAGATGTGTTGCGACATAAAGCGTGCCTGCTTTGCTCTTGCCAAAGGCTGTAAAGCAATCCATCCTCCGTTCGCTTTAGGCAGCTCGCCCAAAGCATTGTAAACATTCCTCAATCTAGCCAAGCAGGAGGCTTTACATGGCCACAGCTTGGCAGCCAGATCCGCCTCGTTTTAGTGTTTCGTAAGCTATGATAGGAGAAGCTGAGGCAGCAATTACTTCAATAGCCAACGGGAATGACACAGCAGAAATCGCACGGAATATCAGAAGCCATTGGCTGCAGGAGGCTTGGCGAGGGGGCAAGGAACAATTCCTTAGTGGAGATTAGAAATATGGAACTGTGGAAAGTGCAGCTGTTATTGTGCAGAAAGTAATTAATCAGGATGATATTTAAGTGTCTGTACTCTACTGGCCAGCTGTAATGTTGATTTGTGTATTCAGTCCTGGCAATATATAGTAGTGTTGCAAATGCAGACAAGCAATCGGCCAAAAGTGGCCCAGATTAAAGCATCTCTTCCATTTGATGATCAGAGGGTGTTGGGCAGCGTTTAATTAGACCAGGCGTTGCTGGCTGGGGAATTCTGGGAATTGAAGTCCACAAGTCTTAAAAGTTGTCAAGGTTGGAGACCCCTAGATTAGACAGTTCTGGGTCTGGTCTGCAGCTTTGGTGTCCTTTTTTGACCCTCTGACCTGCAAACAATGCAGATGTCCTCCTCACTGCCATTTTTCTCGCAACCTCACAAAGGACTGTCTGCTTATGCTAGTCTCCTTTGGTTCCTTTCCAGGCTGATGTGGACAAGGCTGTGAAGGCAGCCAGAGATGCCTTCAAGTTTGGGTCTCCTTGGAGAAGGATGGATGCCTCCCAAAGGGGCAAATTACTGTACCGACTGGCTGACCTGATTGAAAGAGACCGGACTTATTTGGCCGTATGTATGGGGCGACTGGGGAGAGGAGTCGGTTTGGGCATGCTCTGCTCTCTTCTCAGAACCCTCCTGCAGAACCTGGTTTATCAATGCTGGCTTCATATTTCTTCCTAGGCTCTGGAAACATTGGACAATGGCAAGCCATACGCAATCTCCTACCTGGTAGACTTAGATATGGTTATCAAGAAACTCCGGTAAGAATTAATATAAATAGATTCTCAACTATTGCCAAGCACAACTTAGGATGGCTCTTTTGCAGTTGGAGAGTTGTTGTTTTGTTTTGTTTTTTGCAGGGAAAGTCAGCTTAGTGAAATACAAACATTTTGCTGTTATTTTCTGGCAGTTAATAATACAAGATTTTTTTCCCACTCAAGTAAACCTGAAATACAAACTGGAAGAAAGGAATCTTTCTTTCCTCTAGAACTGGAACCAAGAAACAAATCGCATGATTGGTTCAGCCAAGTGCAGAAATCCCTCAGCCTATTTAAAAATGAATTTCTGAAAGGATTAAAATAAAATTTGAAAGATTTCCTGAACTTCTGGTAGAGGGCAACTGTTCTCTTTCCATTTCAAAAGCTGAGCATAAAGAAACATTAAGCAGGGATGGATAGACTGTATCGACTAAGTATCAAATAATATTTACATATGGCAATATTGCAACACTTTTAGAATATTTGCTTGTATAATAACCACTTTGCAGGAAAAAAACTTCCTTATTTTTATACTTGGGTCTCCAGTAATCCAATAGTCATAGGGTGGTTAAAAGTAATCCAACAGAAATTTTCATACACCTTCATATAACTACTTCGATGTGTAATTTCCCCTTTCGTCAGCAGGTGTCACTGTCAGCTTAAATTTCAATATCACCACATTTCTAGCGTTCTCTTAGTTATAGAAGAATTACAAAAGCAGAATAAGTTTTGTAAATAAATGATTCCAGCATTTTAAAATGCCTTCCCAGTACCACACCTTCCCAACTTAAGAGTGCCATTTTCTGTATATTCAAAATTTCAAAGTTTATTATTTTCACTTCTGCACCCTTCACTTCTGGTCTGGTGGTTTCTCAGAATGCCTAAAGGCCACTTTGACAGATGATTCTGAGCAGATAATTCTAAATTGTTCCTTGGGGTTAAATTTAAAGTGAAAGAAAAATCCTCTCCCCCAGTTCCACTCACTGTTCACCTACTTCACTCCAGCATCAGTCTTAGATGTTCATCTGCTGTCCCAGCATTTTGGTGGCCATCTTTAGCTGCCTCTTCTTTTTGCCGTGGCTGAGAGGGAGAAGAAACCCTGGGGCCGGCAGGAGAGCTGTGACTCTCCTTGACCTCTCAGGGTGCCCCTCTTCGCTTGACCGCCCCTACAAGGCGGCTTTGGCTCCTCTTGGAGCCCATGAATATGGAGAAGTCAGCACAGGGAACACACAGACTCGTTTCCTGTGTCTCTATCACCATTACGTCAACCAGAAGCTCCGGAACACCTGTAATATTTTATGGCTTTGCTCCAGGTACTATGCAGGTTGGGCTGACAAATTGCATGGGAAAACCATTCCCCTGGACGGAGACTTTTTCACTTATACAAGACATGAGCCTGTGGGCGTTTGTGGACAGATCATTCCGGTAAGTCACAGCAGATCACAAGTCCTCTCTCGGCTATGAGAGTAGAAACGGGGAGATTTTAATGTGATCGTTGGACAGAATAGAAGTAAAGACGATGTGTGGTTAGTATTGTCCTTTTCTCTGACCTATATAAGTCTTGTTTAAGTAACCCAGATTTTTAAAAGGATCCTAAGCTAATGTTTGTTTTCTTAATACCTCTTCCCAAATATGTTGGCTTCCATTTCTGTTGCTCAATGCTATTATGTGATCGCCCATTGACCTCTGCATTCCTTTTGGGATTGTTGTCTAACAGATCTTCTGATTGTTGGGAAGAGAAGGGGAGCCCAATTCTTTGAAAAATGAATTAGGTAATCCAACACAATGTTATCGAGGAATGTAGCTGACTAAGATTTTTGAGTATCTACACATTTCTTTTTCTTGTAGTGGAACTTCCCATTGTTGATGCAGGCGTGGAAGCTTGGTCCCGCTCTGGCCACAGGGAACGTGGTGGTGATGAAACTGGCTGAACAAACTCCCTTGACTGGCTTGTATGTGGCCAGCCTGATCAAAGAGGTGAGAGAGGGGCTCCTGCACTCATCTGCTTTCCCCCCTTGAATTGTGGGGGACAAATTTCTAACTCTCACTGATGCCTCCACATTTTGTATTTGGTCAGGTGACCTACCAATGAATCTTTTCCATTTAGGAAATGATCTTCTCTCATGTCTTAACAGGCTGGATTCCCTCCAGGCGTGGTGAACATTATTCCTGGTTATGGACATACAGCTGGGGCTGCTATATCTTCTCACATGGAAGTGGACAAAGTTGCATTCACTGGTTCCACCTCGGTGAGGAACTAACATTTATAGCCTCTCGTTCTTTTTCAGCCTTTGGGACTGAAATTGATGTTAAATCAGAATACTAAGATTTTGCAGTGATTCTCACGGTGGGTTTTTGGTTGCCCAGATCCAGGAGTCATCCGTGGCCTCAAATAGGTACAGGAATGCTTGATCTGCCTTGATCCAATAGAGTGACCTTCAGTTTACATCCTTTGCTGCTACTTGGGGTTTTAGGAATTGCCCCCGGAACAAAATCACACTAACTGCAGGTTTCATGAATGATCTTGATTCCCTTAAACAGCCATTAGATGTCAGTCTTAAAAAGGGTAGAGGGATGTCTTGTTACATTGGGAAACACAAAACAAAGCCAATTGATTCCCTTCCTGGTCTTTTTGTCAAATATAGCTTGTTATACTGACCGATAGAAATGTCTTGATTCTTAAACTATACAGGTTGGGCACCTGATCCAGAAGGCTGCAGCAGACAGCAATATGAAGAGAGTGACTCTTGAGCTTGGTGGAAAGAGCCCAAACATCATCATGTCCGATGCTGAAAGTAAGACCTTCTTCTTCCTGGGAGCAGACAAGGGAATTGAGTTCCATCAGGAGGGGGATTAGCAGCTCCAGTCAGCCCAGCGATTTGGATAAGCTTGTCACTGAAATGCATTTTGTGTACCCCATCAATGAAAATGAACAATATCCCAATCCATTTACCCAGTTAGAAAGGGCAAAGGCATTTCAGGCCGGCCTTCTTCAGTCTTGAGCAACTTTCCTCAATTCTGGCTGTGTTGGACAGATGAGGAAAACAGGAGTTGTAACATGCTGGGATTTGAAACCAGCCCAGATAAAGGCTGGTTTGCTGAGGCAAGAAGTAAATTAGTATCTAATTTCCAGATGGAAGAGAAATTAAATCCACTTATTACGGTTACTACTCTCACTGCAGTAATTAAAGAGATCATTTGGAGGATTTTCTGTCTTGTTTCAAGTGGCCTCATTTGGACTCTTTCCATTCCTTTTTTTTTTTTTTTTAGTGGACTGGGCTGTTGAGCAATCCCATTCTGCGTTGTTCTTCAATCAAGGCCAGTGCTGTTGCGCTGGATCTCGGACCTTTGTCCAAGAAGACATATATCATGAGTTTGTGGAGAGGAGCGTGGAGAGAGCCAAGTCCAGAATAGTTGGGAACCCATTTGACTTCCAAACCGAACAGGGGCCCCAGGTGGGAACAAAACAATTCATCTGCCACCCTCCGCTCTTTCGGGAGGTCCTTTAAAATATCATCTCGGATTATAGAAAAATGGAGCCATTATTCTAGAGAGGAAAAAATCCTCTCAAACACTCTACATTATACAAAACAATCTTAAAATCTTAAAACCTTTCTTAAAATCTAGTAAATAAAATGTATATGTCCTTGTGGGATAAAAAACAAAGTAAAAACTCACAAATAGAAATTATAATTATTTCTCCAGGGCTACTGGTTTTAATAACTGTCATTGTTTCAAACTTCAGCATATTAAATGCTTGGTGAATTTTTTTTCACACAAGCAAAGTTGTTTCTTTATGGTAACAGCATCTAGACTGAACTGATGTGCTGACCTTTTGTTGTCTCTTAAGGTGGATGAAACACAGTATAAGAAGATCCTTGGATACATTGACAGTGGAAAAAAGGAAGGAGCAAAATTACTTTGTGGTGGGAGTCCCGCAGCAGATAAGGGCTACTATATCCAGCCAACTATCTTTGGAGATGTGCAGGACAACATGAAAATAGCCAAAGAAGAAGTAAGAATCATACCATAGTACATTTCTAATTTTGCCATCGTGTTGTTATATTGATTCACATTATGTAACCATGCTGCTGAATTCCAGACCTCGCTTTCTAAAATGTACTCTTATATGTGAGGTTAGGCAGTAGTATAATATTGGATAGAATCCTATTATATAAATACGTTTTAATCTTGCAGATGTTTTTCTTTTACAGATTTTTGGGCCCGTTATGCAGATTTTGAAATTCAAAACCATTGAGGAAGTTATCCAGAGAGCAAATGAAACCAAATATGGGCTGGCAGCCGCTGTTTTCACAAAGGATATTGATAAAGCAAACTACATTTCTCAGGGCTTGCGAGCTGGAACTGTTTGGTAAGCCCTTAAATTTAAGAATGGAACTCAGAAGGAAAAAGCGGAGAACCAGTTGGGGGGCACTTGCTGTCCATGCTGCAGTCCCCAACCCATTGGAAGTATATAAAAAAATATTCTTTTGGTCATCCTTCTCTCCCCTCCCCCCCCAGCCTTTTAAATGAATGAAAACTGGAAGCTTGTATTCAAGAGTTCCCACATCACCAAGGAGTACTTGCCCTCAGATTATCAATGTATGCATTCAGTGTAGCTTTAAGTTTGCAGTTCTAATGTTAATTTATTAAATCTTTGTATAACAAAGGAAATGCAATCAAAAACATTTACAATGCAGAGTTTCTTTTGCAGGATCAATTGCTACAATGTGTTTGGGGCACAGGCTCCATTCGGAGGGTTCAAAGAATCTGGCCAAGGGCGTGAGGGAGGAGAATATGGCCTGAACCCATACATGGAAGTAAAAACAGTAAGTACTGTCACTACTCAATACTTCAAATTCCTTTGAACTGTCTTCAGATCAGGTTAGGTCAAATACAAGGAAGCATTTATTTTAACCTGGATCCTAATCGGTGCCCATTGGTGATTTAGAGAGCTCAGATAGAATGAGAAGCCAGCATCCTCCTATACTGCAACCCGAATAACAGAACGTCTTGTCTTGCTACTTAAATAATAGTATATTTATTTTCTTTTGAAAGTCCTGATTTTTGCTTTGCCTGAGGTTGGCAACTCTCAGTTAGCTCCATATGGTTTACTAGATAGATGTCAACAATCCTAACACAACATAATGGATAATATTTTTTGAACCGTAAGAAGTCTGAAACATTAAACCAAGCTTGTTGAGTTTATTTGCCCTTACAATAGGAGGTTGGGATAGACATTGGTTGATAAACAATGGTTATGACTACAATTGAGCCCAAAATTTCTGCTGCAAACAAAATAGTTAAGTGAATTTTGCCCCGTTTTACGGCCTTTCTTGCCACAGTTATTAAATGAATCATTATTGTTGTTAATAATACAGTTGTTACATGAATCTGTCTTCCCCAGTGACTTTGCTTGTCAGAAGGTCACAAAAGGCGATCACATGACCCTGATCCCCGAAGGTCGCTAAATGAACTGGTTTAAGACGGTAACTACCTGTAGATGAGATTTCATGTTTTCCTCTATTTGCTAGGTCACCATCAAAGTCCCACAAAAGAATTCTTGAAGAAGAAATACCTGAAGCTGTCCGCCTATGTCACCCAATGCTTGATAGAAAAACTTCATGAGGAATTGAAGAATTCTACACTAGGAAAGAAAATCTGGCTTCTCTAAGTGTTTCACAGAATGTACATGTAACCAATGATTAAGAAGTCTTTATTTCTCTGCTTAAACCGTCCTTGGCTCCTTTTCCCAAGACCAAACCTGTGTAATAATTAAGAGCAAGGAAAATCGAATATTCTTCACTCCAGTGTAACCTGAAGAGAAAATCTACAGAAGCAGGCTACTTTTGAGTATTGAATGTTGTTAAGACACCTCTTCATATATTCTATTTTTTTTTTTTTTTTACTTTTTCTAATACATAAAAGATTTTATGCTTAACGTGTCTTTGTACTGCATCAGTCCAGAGCCGTTTTGGATAGTGAGATGGGAGGCATATCAATTTAAGGAGTAAATAAACTTGCTTCACGAGGCGAGGGCTCCAGATGGCCAAGGACCAGGATTTGGGGAAGAATCTGGGGGTGAACGTGGATCCTTAAGTGCCCCATCTTTTTTGGCTGGTTGTTTAGCCGCAAAAGCTCAGATTAAATTCACAGGAGGACTCCTTAAATTGCAAATGTTTCCAACCTTTTAAGATACCTGGATTTTTGGCTCCCAGAATCCCCCAGCCTGCTAAGAATCCTGGGATTGGGAAGGCCGCCAAGGCCCTAATTTACCTTAATTCGAGTTTTAATCCTTTGGTTCCTCCGATAATGTTTATTAAAAAAAAAAACCGGTTGCACAAGAGCAGGGATACAACACAACATATATAACAACTATATTATATTATATTTTAATTAATATTAATATGTCGTATTACATAATATAACCGGGAATCAAGGTCTTAAGGGCCGAAGAGTGAAATTCTCACCCACTCCCCTCAGAAACTGGCAGGGGGGATTTTTTTTTTAAAAAAAGGCGCAATTATAGAAAAAAAAAAGACCATAGAATTATAATATATAATTATAACAGAGTTATAAACATTCCAGATGTTCTCAGGGGAAATTAGGGCGGTGCTTTTGATACACTTCTCGGAGATATTTGACGGCTGTTCGGTTTTGGTGGTGGTTGGGGAGGGAGGGGATTAAGGAATTAATCCTACCTGAAAAACATTCTACCTGAAATTAAAGGCTCGCCTGTCAGTCGCGCCTCTCCCCAAAATGGCGGCCAGCCTCACAGCGGCTCCCCTTCGTCCTGCCACGCTCGAGATCTCGCGAGACGTCCCGCGCGACACGGAGGAAGGAGATCCGCCCCTCCCACCGCGACGGCGAAGGGGCGTGTCCGGAACGCAGCGAGGGTTTCCCCCGCCCTTCCTTCCCTCGGACGAGGCGAGGGCTGTCTCCTTCCCTCAGATAACCCCGTCCGTGACGTCATCCGGAGGCGCCGCCCCGGTGAAGAAAGACCCGGCGGCCCCGAGGGAGCCTTAACTGGAGAAAGAGAAGAAAAGAGGGAGGGGCCTCCGAGGCAGGGCGTCGCGCGTAAGCACGGGGCTGCCCCGGCCCCCCGCCTGACCGCTTTCTTCCCCGAGAGCCTCGGCAGCGGCCAAGCTCGCCTCGGGATCGACCCCGCGCGGCTCGCCCGTCAAGGAGGCGCGGAGACAAGGGGATCCGGGCAGGCGGCGGCTGCGGGGAGCGCGGCGGACGCGCCTCCTGAATCAGGGGGGGCTTGCCGGGGGAGTGGGGGGGGCGAAGCGGTGGCCATGGCCGGCGGCTGCCCCGCGTCAGTCGAGCCCCGGCGGCCGGGCTGAGGCGGCTGCGGCCCTTTCCTCCCGCCGCCCGCGGCCTCGCTCTTCCCCGCCGCGAGAAGAGGGCTCCCGGGCCTCCGCTTCCCCGCCGTCCCGCTCCCTTCCCTCGGCTGCTGGGCGGGGATGAGGCGGCAGCCCGGCGGCGGCGCTGGTGGTGGCGGCAGCGGCGGTGGCGGCGGCAGCGGCGGAGGCGGCGAGGGGGGAGGCGGCAGCGGCGACGGTAGTGGAGGCAGCGGGGACAACGACGCCGACGACTCCGACTTGGAGGGGCGGCCCCCCGCCTAGCCCCCCCGAGCCCCCCGAGCCGGGCCTGAGGCGGCGGCGGCGGAGGAGGAGGAGGATGTCGGAGGAGCCCGAGGCGGAGAGGATGATCAAGGTAGGCGCCGCGCCAGAGGCCCTCTGAGCACGTGCAGAGTTCGCCCGCTCCACCCCCCCCCCCCTGGGGGGGTGTTTTGGGGCCGCCCCCCCCCCCCGGAGGAACCCCGCGGCTCCCATCATCCCCTGCCTTGCCTCTCTTGAGTTGGACTACCGCTCCCATCATCCGCGCTCTCCTGGCCTCTTAGGTGGAGTTGAAGTACGGCTCCCATCATCCCCAGGTAGCGCCCTGGCCTTGGACTACACTTCCCCTCATCCTCGGTTGGCACCTAGACCCCAATTCCTGTAAGGGATCGGACTGGGCCTCCAAATGATTTTGGGGTGTGTGTGTATAGGGTTGCTATTTTAATTTAACGGAGCTGGGGATGATGAGCCTTGTAATCCAGCAGCCCAGACCGTGATCCACAGAACTCCCATGTTGCTGTCAGCCTCTCGGTTTTATTTTTAAGGACTACAGGTGGGACTTCTTACCTGGGACCATCGGCCTTTCACCTTTTTCCTCTCCTTTGCAAAACAAACAGGAAACCTCTATTTTGGAAGACTACCACATTAACTGGACTCAGAAGCTGGGAGCTGGAATCAGCGGCCCAGTAAGGTAAAAAGATCTTTTATTTATTGCTTCGGGATTTAAACTCGGGCGAGAGCTGTGAAATATCGGATTCTTGAATTAAGCTGTGAATAGAAATCAAAGGTTGGACTGGAACACTCTTTCCTTGATGTTCGTTATCAGACAATAAATGCAGTCATAAGTCAAAGTCTTCCACAGACTCCCATTAACTAAATGTTTTTACTGCTGCCTGCACAGAGTCTGCATCAAAAAATCGTCTCAAGAACGGTTTGCACTGAAAATCCTTCTTGATCGCCCAAAAGCGAGAAATGAGGTACAGTACTTTATGTATGGAAAAGTTTTGGAACTTTGACTGGCTGGGGAATTCTGGGAGCTGAAGTCCACAGGTCTTAAAGTTGCAAGATTGGACACCCCTGACCTTAGACAAAGGGATTGATCATTTTAAACCAATGAAACCTAATATTCCAAATACTAAAATACTGTTGCAAAGCATAAAAGAAACCAGTGATTGTCTGACAATAACCCCATAGCACAACGCCTTGTAATGAATCCTGGCATTGCCCTTAGTTATTAAATTGGATCTGAAAAGACCTAAATACATGCAGGAAGAATTTGCTTAGAAAAGCCTCACTGTAAAATTGAGCCCAGAAAGATGCTGATAGCTTGGCTTTTATTTATTCATTGAAGATATTGATACAACACCAAGCGGCTTGTGATCCTGCTTGGACAAAATTATTAATTTCCTGTCAAGAAATTGCTTCCTTGAGCCTGGTCATCTTCCAGTCCAAAGCAGGCACTTTCAGTCAATGCCAGAAGCCTCCTGAGATTCCCCTTAAGGCCAGCGGGATTCCAGCGGGATGAGACAGAGTGAACCTAAGAACCAAGTTCGAATCTGTTTGGGGGTTTATTTTGATGATGCCATCCAGAATAGCTCCTTTTTTTTTTTTTTTTTTTTTTTTTGCATTATTAGAAACTCCATTTTGCCTCATTGGCCTTCAGTGTAGTGGAGCTGGAAAGATCTGGCCTTCTCCAGTTCTGCTGAATCTGGCTTGTCAAAAGGGTAGAGGAGAGGCTCCTGGCAAACCGGTTAGTTTCCTGCCCAGAGCACTCAGTCAACTCCAGTCCACTTTCCTGGGGGTGGTGCTTGGTGTTGACCTTTTAAATCTCTCTGTGCTCTCCCCTGCAGCCAAGGCCTCTTCCTTTGAATTTCTCCTCCCATTGCGACTTTGTTCCTCGCTTGACCTTTTGTCCAATTCTACCCTAGGCCGTGAGTTTTAAACTCCGGGTTTTGCTTCACCACCCAATTAAAAAAAAACAACCACAAGATCTCAGATCTCACAGTGTTAGAAGCCAGTTAGCGTTCAACCACATGAACATCTAGGAAGATTGAATTCCTTTCTGGCTCAGAAAGCGCACTTGGTTGCCACATATCTGAAATGGTGTCTTTTTTCAGGCAGTTAGTCCAGGGGAAAAATCCCAAGCTGACCTTAATTCTCTTGTCCTTTGCTTCTTATGAATAGCTATCTAGAAAGGCTTTTGATTTCCGTCATATAAGAGTAAGAGACAGGAGCATTTTGAGGGCCGAGACCAGAGGCCACAGGGTTTCAGTGGGTTTTCTCCCGTTTTGCACCAGGTCCGACTTCACATGATGTGTGCGGCACACACCAACATCGTCCAGATTATTGAAGTCTACGCGAACAGTGTACAGTTCCCCCATGAGTCCAGTCCAAGGTAAGATGGCACAGGTTCCTTCTGGTGCCACAACATGATCACAAAATAGAACTTTTTTGTGTGTAAGGCACATCTCCCCCCCCCCACCTCAAAAAGGTTACTGCTTGGAAGGGAAAGTGAGAGGGGAGACACAGAAATAAACATGGGGTTGACCTGTGGTTTGCATGCTTGACCACAGAGAGTATGACAAGCCAATTTTTTTTATTATTTTTTTTTTTTTGCCAGAGGGGGAGAATGGTGGCTTTGTTTTTTTGGAAATGGTATTGTTTCAGTGGCATATTTATGGCCCTTACTTTTAAATTGCAAATCCATTGCATTGCTTTTTCTTTAAACTGCCCTGAGCAGTAGTTTCTGCAGAATATTTTCCTGGGTCTTGTTTCATTACAAGAATGGGGCTATGGGGCAGAGATTTTTCTGAATGTCTTGATTATTATTTTTTAACCCATGTAACAAATGGGAATCCTTTGAAAACCAGGTCTCGACTGCTAATTGTTATGGAGATGATGGAAGGGGGTGAGCTGTTTCACAGAATCAGCCAACATCGGCACTTTACTGAGAAACAAGCAAGCGAAGTAACAAAGCAGGCAAGTTTTAACCCTCCCACAAAACCTCCCTATTCTGCCCTGGTAGAAGCAAACAATATGGAAGAAAAGAACTGTAAAAAAAAAAAAAAAAGATTTGCAACAGATGGATTGGGAAGAGGCAAGCATTAAAATTAAAAAAAAAAGCAATGTTTGGCCTCTTAAAAGATTACCTGCTTTGTTATAATCTCAACATTTGTTTCCCAGGTTTTGACGGCTGAGGGGGTGCCCTCTTTTCTTTTCTAATATAAAAGTGTGGGTGGGGGGGATACTTGAGGGTGCTGCCATGCTGGCTCAGGAGGGATTGACTGAATTGCCCAGGAAAACCACATTTGTTCAGCTG